ACAGTCAGAGAGGAGATTCCAGCTCTCACTCGCCTGATTTTAATGGAAACATTCCATAGCACTTACACGTATCTCTGTCTCACACACACACACCAGTGAAACATATCTAGAAGATCAGTCTAAATATTTTCTCAGTAGCAGCACACATTTTTGAAGAGGAAAAGACGGGTTACGTGGAAGACACAAATCTCTAATTGTGCAGTTTGGCGTGAGGAGAACGAGTCTGACTCGAGCGCTTTATTTTCCATTGTTAAAATCTTTGTCATTTGATCTGAATCTATTGAGCTCAACAGTCTGACTAAAGCGATACAAAAGATTTATTTTTGTTCTCAGTCCACAAATGATTCTTTTGGAAGATTCAATTGAACTGATTCACAGTGCTTATATATCACTTGACTGTAAGACAGAACCTTGTTTCTAAGTAAAACTGTGAGGTGAGTGAATAATAACAATAGAAAGGCACTGTGGCACTATGGTATCAGATGGTAAATCATTACACGGTACTCCCAAGTAATTCAAAGAACAGCATGGTATGACTGTGCTACATAGCCCAAAAAAGCATGGTAATACCACAGTACAGGTCAATAAACCACAGTGGGGTCATGGTACTTTTTTGTTTGTGAACACAATATTTGAGACCGTCTGCATAACAAAAAGATCTGATCAGAAGAGCTTTTTTTACCAAGTATGTTTACACACACAAGTCATTTGACAGGAGCTTCCAGTGCAGAAGTACAAACTTTTATTAGGATTTTCATAACGCTTTACAATATGGTCCCATTAGTTAACACTAACCAATGAATTACTTAACATTAACAATGACCAATACATTTCATGTTAGCTCAAGTAAATTAAATAACATGAACACTTTATCAGTATATGTCATGGTTAACATTAACTAATGTAGGTAACTTATGTTAACAAATGTAACCAAAGTGTCACCAGTGTTTTATTATTCAACTCTAAAAATAAGCTGCAGTGAGAACACTTTTTGCATGATGACTCAGATGAATGAGTGTATCATGCGTAGAGCAGCAGTATGTATAGCAGCCGATCTTTGAGGAGATCTGAAAATGATTTCTCGAGTTGTCTTTACAGTAATGCATCAGTGTGCTGGCAGCGGCCCGGCTGAATTCAACGGCTCTGAGGTTTGGTTTGGACCTCAGATGCATGAGCTACAAACACATCCACATCTTATAATGTTCTGAATACAGCGATCATCTCAGGATCAACTTTAGAGTGGCTTGTTTCAAAAGCACATTGTCGCTACTTAATCAAAAATAAGCACTTGTGTTCAGGCTCTGTTCATAAACTCACATAGACCTACTGCTGCTTACTGTGCAGTCGCCTTCATTCTTCCCCTATTTTTTTTTTCAGATATTTTTTCCATTTGATTTTTTTCTTTTAATGGTTCAATTACATTTTTAGTAATCAAAAAGCATGTCTAATTAACTGAAATATTGAATAATAATTAGGGTTGGGATAGGCCTGGGCGATAAAACGGTATTGATATTTATCGACGGTACACCTTCTTCGATAACGATAGAAAAAATGTTTGATATGGCGCACGATATAGGCACGTGCTATGAGTGACGCACAGCACACACAAACACGAACACATGCTGAACTGAGTGCTGTGCCTGCCTGTGATGAGGAGATTGTGAATAAAAAAATGAATATTTGTCGAAATTAAAGTAAACATTTGCATTTGAACGCAAAAAATAGTGCAATCAAATGTTAGGTGTGCATCAGGGAGCATCATCAGTGGAGCACGAGATGATGATGTAAGTGACGTTGTTGCATTTTAATGTTTTGTTAGTCTAGTTATTCATTCAAAATATTAGAGAAATATAGTAGCTCAATGCATAGAAGATCTTGATTAGGTTAAAACCGAAACCAAGCCATTCACACAAAATGCAAATTCAGCGCATTTTTTAGACGGACAAATATGACTGCTGCACTCGCGTCTCACACAAGAAATTTTTGTATCGATTTTTTTTTTTACAAAAATAAAATTTTTACGGCCCCTATGTTTTTTTTCTGGATTTATAACTTATTACAAATTTATTATCAAAAATTGTGGTAATCAAACGAAAGCATAATACACTAATTAATGTTTTTAAATGTAAATGCAATAATTCCTTTTTTTATGAAACTATTAACATGCTGTAGTGTGGTATAGTGTTGTCAAGTAACCTCACCATGTTGCATACTTAATCCAGTGAGTTGTGGTTATTATATCAGGAAAAAAAAGTTTATTATAATCTATTTTTGTGCACAAACTCCAGCCAGAGTTATATAAAAAAAAAGAGATGTTCTCAGAAGGAAGAAATCACTTCTGGTTCATTTGTCACACTGCAAAAGGAAGGTCATGTGGAGTGCATTGCATTGTGGGATACAGTATTTTGCACAGTCTGCTCAATATGGCTATTGTGACTGCCTGCATTAGAGAGATTCTTGCCAAACATATGAGATAATGAACACCCATGCACAAGAAAAAAATGAAACTTTTCTAAATGAAGTGATGTTCAGGGTTTATATTAAACTGAACACTAACCTTTACACATTGCTCAAGACTGTTAGATCTGGTTCTTGAATAAAGAGCCATCTGAGGTGCACATTTGCTATTCTTTATTTAGACGAGAGAGTTCTTATGTTTGCATTTCTAATACACCTGCCCTGGAATTACTGACTAAGCGTTCAGCAGATCACAACCCATAAGAAAAGAGCACAGGGTTTCAGCTCAGGTCTGTTAAATAACCCAATCCTTGTGATTTATTCAAAGAGACCTCGTTAATTGAAATGCTCAAAACAATCCGGCGTAACCTACAGACAAACCCTGAACTGAATCGTTCCTGATTAAAGTTGACTCTCGCCAGATGCGTTCCAATCTGTTTGCTACAGGGTGCAGAAGATGGGGATTAGCCATAGGGGAGATGAGCCGAGCAAGTGGCAATAATCTCCCTGATGCCATCTTATCCTATTAGCTCCATTTATCACCTGCTAAAACGATCCGCTGGACCAACAGCAATCAAACCAGAACCCTGCTGACATCCTGGGTAAAATCAATAGAAATGCCCAAAGGAACCAAAAACCACAAAGGAGCTCTCTTATATCTTAACTGTTTCCTCTTGACAGCAATGATATTAAATGGAGGGTACCTTTACTTTCTCCGGAGAGACCACAGCAGGGTTCCCACATTTTTCATCCAGTGAATTTCAATGACTTTTACAGTCATTCGCAATAATAACCGGTAAAATTATTTTTCTAAATAATATAACATTTAAGTGAGAAGAAAGCATTTATTTATTGTTTTTTTTTTATTTTATTTTAGAGAAAAAAATATACTATTCAAAAACAAAAACAAATAAAACGCAATTTTTTCAGGCCAGAAGTTTTTTTTTTATTCTAGGGTAAAAGAAAAATAATAAATTACTAGATTATTTATTATTTTATTCTATAATTTGATATATATATATATATATATATATTTTTTATAACTACTATTTAAAAACACAATTTTTCCAGGTCTGGAAATCACTTTTTTTTTTAATTCCCTCATATTTTCTATGTCTAATGTCTGGTTTTTCTCAGTGTCTCAAATTGTGCTTATTTGCCAAGATACGAGCATCTGCAATCAAATGTTAGATATTTCAATATGAACTCATTATTCAAAATTAACAATATTTCTCCCACAATCACTGTATAAAAGGTTTTAGCAGAGCTTTCAAAAGAAAGTGAATCCGGACGTGAAAAATACAATGAATAATACAGGAATAATGACAACTAAATAAACATACAAAGCCATTCGTCTCTAAAAAAATATACGATTTAAATTGTTCTACTTCAACATTTCATGCGTAATTCTATGCGTTAATTGCTGTTTCGTTGTAATTTTTCTATGAAACATTTTAGCAATTTCTGAATGAAAATTGTTTGTACATTTTCCCCCCAGCGTAGTCCAAGCCAAATTCACCTTGCCAATACTCACTGAAATCACTGGATTTTGCTCAGAAAATTTAGTAGATCAACAATAAACTTGGCCACACATTCACATGATCTAATCAACTGTTTATATTTCTACATAACTCTTAGAAAGCTATGAGAGAGCAACCTCTGAGTAACAGCAGTTCCCTCTGGGTCATTTCTGACTGCATTTCTCAGCATCCCATGACAGAGGACAGCAGTACACCCATTCATCCCTTCATCATGGGTTTGAATGGGGCCTACAATGAGCAGAAACCCACAGCAGAGCGTCAACAGACTGTCAGGCGTCTGGAGTCATTGCGGAACTCGTGTGTCCATCATTACCCTCTCAAAGCCTTTAATAGCACTGACACACTCATCAGATCACTTACCTGCTCAGTAATCGCCAGGTATCAACACAAACCCAGTTTTCACCTACAGAACCTGTTCCGAGCAGGAAGCGATTGTGAAACAAAGGCATGCAACGCTAATGTATCCGAGTGATGTTAAAAGATACAATGACAGTAATTTACTCATTAAACACAATATATGAGACACTGCAGCAGATATGCCTCGTTAACCACAATGTCCTTTCAAAAGCAAACAGAAAAGAAAACAGGATGTTTATGAGAGATGGTGGTTAATGTACTGCGCCTGAACGTTTAAACCTCATATTTCTCAATATTGTTCAGATAACACATTTTATGTTCATTAAAAAAAAATTAAAACGTGATGTATATTTTTTTTGTGATATACACCTGCTTAAACAGCACAGTAAACATACGTCTAACGTTACGTTAGTCAGTCATGTCTGATATTACACTCGCTTTAACTCGCTATATTGTAAAACCCGCGGGAGTATGAATATGTACAAATTAAAAACAAAGCCTGAATTATGTAACGCTACAGAAAAACGTTGAATTTGAAAGAAAGTGAGAATTAGAAACAAAAAAACCGTCCGCCACCGTTCTTAGCATGATCTGGCTAACACTGAGGCGAGACGCTGAAGGACAAATAAAATGTCTTGTACTCACCTTAATACCGAAACTTTCCGTTATTTTCCTTTCATTTACGAGGGATAAAAACCATCCAGCTAATCCATGTGGGTTAGTTCACGACTGGAGACACGGAAAAACATCACAAACCCCCCGAAATGCAGCGCTAGATGCTGGAGAGCCGAAGAAAGCTGCTGCTAGCTGAGCGAGCTAATGCATTCTTCACCTCGGCGCGCGACGGAAAGTTGCCCACAGCTGCTGGGAAGTTTTGTTGCTGATACAAAACAAAGATGTTTCGACGAGACAAGAGAATTACAAAAAAAGAGTCGGTATAATAAACAGAGCGACCAAAAAGGTCGCCGAGATCATTGATTTACATTGAGACGCGGAAGAGCAGTCACTGAAGTGATGGAGCAGTGAAGCAGCGCTTAAGCACTGGACAGTTGTGCTAATGATTCACCAGCGAATCGTTCTTCTGATCGGTTCTTTTGAACGATTCGATCGACCTGATTCTGTAAAACTTTGTAGTTATCGTGATCGGTGTAATCGGGGTTTAAGAATTTATTATTAAAATCTAGTGCTGCCAGGCGATTAATCGCGAGTAATCGCATCCAAAAGTTTTTGTTTACATAATATATGTGTGTGTGTACTGTGTATATTTATTAAGTATATATAAATACACACACATGCATGTATATATTTAAGAAAAATATGTTACATTTATATATTAAATATATTTATATATAATATAAATTATATGAATATAAATATATACATGTAAATACATGTAAATATTTTCAAAAATATATACTGTATGTGTGTGTATTTCTATATAGATAAAAATATACACAGTACACACACACATATATTATGTAAACAAAAACGTTTATTTTGGATGCGATTAATCGCGATTAATCATTGGACAGCACTATTAAAATCATAAACAGTACTACATGCTTCAAAAATACTATGTCCAAAATAGTAATACTATTTTCTTTCTTTTTTCTTTTTGGTGAACAAAACACTATTACAAACTGTAATATTTATTCACTACTCCTTTAGGTAAAACTGCGTGAGAAATTCAACGCATTAGTGAATCGCATTTGAATCTCGGTTTGTTGAAATGAATTGTTCGAACGAACCGACTCGCTCAAATGAATCTTACGAGGAAAAAAGGTTAGAATGTGGATGAAAAAAGAGAGAGAGCTCGTATAAAAGTAGTATTTAGTCTCTAGCTCATATTTTATGAAATAGTGACAAAATATTTGTTTCTAACAAACTTCAATGTCTGGAAACAGTTTTATTTAATAGATAATCTATAAATAATGACTCGTATTAGACTACTATAATAAGTCAAAAGGTGATGTTTGTCTCCCTCTAGTGTTCATTTTAAATTTTGAACTTTTCAGGGCAAGTATCTTTTAGTACGTAATGCCCGTTGCATACTGCATAAAATGAGGAATTTTAAGTCTAGTACATAATAACATGCGTGTAGTACCATATTAATGAATTTACATACTTATTTACATAACGATATGGTGCTTGCGTTCCAAATCCGTAAAAACATTCATTATGGAGGTACAGATTTACATACTTGCACATTACATTGTCATTTCACTTATATATAACTAGTATTGTATTTTATTAGTGCATACTTGAAAAATGAGAAGGCCAAGATAATACTGTTGCATTAAAGCAAATATTTACGTTTATTAAAATTGGTATTTGATTATTAATCAACACAACACTGACAAGAAATGAGGCAGCTTGACAAACAAAACAAATACATAACATTTCGTTCTACATAACACTGCAAGTAAAATTAGAACGAAAACTAATGACAGATGTGTCATTGTTATTGTAAATTCAGAAGTCCATTTCCTGTAGTTCACAGTCCAAAGTCAATGCAAGGTTTGTTCTGGAAAGGTTTGTGTGAGTCCTTTACACTGAAAAAACGCATCCTGGCAGGGTTCCCGACCCAGGAACGTCTTCAACATATCCATGCCGTCCACTGAACCTCCTGCTTCCAGAACCACACGCCTGTATTCCCTGCCCACCTGTGCATCAAATACACACAAACACATTCACATAGACGACAACATGGCACATAATCATAAAAAAGTCAAATCTAAGTACTCTGTGTACCTGTGTAATCAACTTCCTCTAAACACAGTGCAGACTCATCCTTCAACAATACTATGACTAACTATGACACACACACTCGTAGGTATTAATAGTTTTACTCACAATGTGTAATATTTCTGTGGAATGCTTTATTATAAATAATATTTGTCTATTCTTAGCAGATAATCACTCAGATTCACATGACTGCCATCTGCTGATCATAGCAGTTCCACATAATGAACTAACATGTGCGTCACTCTTGATAAGAGTCTGCTACATGCCCTAAATGAATATGAATGTAGTAACACTGGTAAATCAGTCATATGCTAACTATCATCTGCTATTGTGACACAGTTCTTGATGAGGGTTCTCTATTAAAATGCACTTTGTCATTATGACACAAAAAATGTGAATCAAATGTTTATTCACGCTCAATAAGGAAAAAGTCAAATAGCAAGACTCAAACCTTTGGATTCAAGATTCCTTCCTTTTTGAAGCGACTGAAGAAGATGTCCATGGAGTAGACTTCACTCCAGAGGTAGCTGTAGTACTGACCGTCATATCCTCCGGCTAAATGACTGAAACTAGCCGTCATATTTGTGCCTGCAGAGAACATGTGGAAATACTGTAAATATAAAATTAACATTGAAGAGCTGATTACACATGTCCTTTGCTTTAAAAATTACTATTCAAATTATCATAAACACACTAGGAACAAACATTAGTAACATTTATTCGACGTCATGGCATTTAATGTTTTAAATAACATTAAATAAATACAAAAATAAAGCCTTTAGCTATGAAACCACACTTTTAACTGCATGTAGTAAAAGTTTGTGCAGTTTTATTTGTCACTTTATTTATGTAACAGTCAGAATTTAGTTTTTTATGATCATTTTCCATCCTCTCTATGACTTGTAGAATTAAATAGACGGATTTTGCTTCTATAAAGGGTTGTTCACACAGAATGCTTTTATGTGTTTAAAATGAAATGCTGAATCAAAAAAGTTCAAAAGTTCAAAATGTAAGTTCAAAAGATTTTTTGGGGGGGGCTTGATCATCATGTTTTTATAATGCTGTGTCATATTTATGAAGAAAAGCAGTGCAGTGGATTTCAAAAACACTTTCTGTGGCCGTTTACACACAACATGTTTTTAAAGATGCAAGACACAGAGACATTTGAATGATAAAAATGCACACAAGAAACATGCTTTTTTTTTAAAGTTGAACTTCTTTTAACTTTAGCACAAGTGTTTTTAGGACGGCGTGTCGTGTGAGACACTGCAAAAGATGTGAGCGCAATGGTCAAACACAATCTGCCAGACTTTTAGTGTTAAACGGATAGATTTGACTTCTGTACCTTTAAGGGGATGTTCACAAAGAATGCGCTTTTGTGTTTAGAAATGCGAGATGCATGGCAGTGGAACGAAAAAAAGTCAAGGTCTATAGATGCCTTGATTATCTTGTTTAAGAAGAAACCCTTTAGAAAAGCAGTGCAGTAGATGGCGAAAAATACACAAGATTCTGTGGCCGTTTACTTGGAACTTTAAAAAATATCTCTAGACTTTGCGTTTTTTTTTTTTGTTGTTTTTTTACATTTCACCACCCTATCTCGTAGGCGTGTAACGCTCCATCGATATGGATCGATCGATACATCGATGAAATGTAGATGTATCGATTCCACGCATAAAATATCGATACCTGTAGTATAAATAGGCACCTTATTTTGACACTGTCCAAATTTTCACGCAATGTCCGTCTATGCATTACCGCCAAACGCGTGCATTCTCGTTCAAACTCATGTGTCACGACTCAATATTAGGACTACCTCAAGGCACAAAGTGAGTGTAAAAGACTGTGTTGAGCGCTGTGTAAGGAGACACATTTTTTATTTTTTATTATTGTTACTAGAGTCTAAAGACTAAAGTCTCAAATCCAAAGAGAAATTCTTTATAAAAGTTAAGACTTGTCCACGCCCTCCTAAAACGGCTCATTTAAACTAGCCCCCACATGTCTACGTCACTGTGTGGGAAGATGTGCATAATGCCACCCAAATGTTCATGTAAAGAAAGAAGGTGTAACTTTATTGTTGCCGCCGCCGCCATGTTGTGAAGACGCTGTGTGTTTCGTTGCGAAAGCGAAAATACTTTGTTTGGTCTTCCAAAAGAGGACACGACTAGAAATCAGTGGTTAAGTTGTATTTACAACACTGTTCCAGAACACTTCAACCCAAATATTTAGATGTGTGCAGCACATTTTATGGAGGACTGTTTCCTGATTCTGGTAGAGTAGACCACAATGCCGGCTGTTCTGACTCACAGACTGTAAGTACGTTTTTTATATTTAAAGGATTTGCCACTGATGATTCAAACGCAAGTTTTGAGCAGTGTAGAGTAGGGCTTGTTGTTTGTCATTTCTCCGATCACAAATGCAGACATGGTTTTATGTTTATGCGGCGCATTGCAACGCAACGCGTAAAAATATAGTATAAATCATTATAATCCGTAATTATGTCCCCACTGGATGCAAATACACAAAATAATGTTCTTTGGAGGTGGAGGTGGTAAGCTGAAGCTGGGACCAGTCACATCCTTATTTGAGCAAAGCCCTATAGTAGATCTAATATTAAAGGGATACTCCACCCCAAAAGGAAAATGTAGTCATTAATCACTTACCCCCATGTCGTTCCAAACCCCTAAAAGCTTCGTTCGTCTTCGGAACACAATTTAAGATATTTTGGATGAAAACCGGGAGGCTTGTGACTGTCACATTGACTGGCAAGTAAATTACACTGTCAAGGTTCAGAAAAGTATGAAAGACATCGTCAGAATAGTCCATCTGCCATCAGTGGTTCAACCGTAACGTATGAAGCGACGAGAATACTTTTTGTACGCGAAGAAAACAAAAATAACGACTTTATTCAACAATTCGTCTCCTCTGTGTCTCTCCGCATCACTGTAGCGCCATTTTGGAGAATAACCGCTGAACGCAAGCAGCGTACGCTATTCTGTGTCAGCCGCGCTGCACGGATACGCTGTTTTCGTTCAAATCAAAGCGTAAATACACGTAGAAAACGTATCCTTGTGAATAAGTGATTAATGACAAAATTTTCATTTTGGGGTGGAGTATCCCTTTAAGCAGCATCTGACGATCGTATATTAACAGTGTAGCAACATTTTGACTTATTAAAGTCAGAAGATGTATAAGCATAGACAGGTCAAGAAACAAACGAAGAAAGCGGAGAAACAGATGGCATGCCATTGACATCAGCGCCATATTGATCCTTACCCACCCACATCCTTAACCC